CCCACGCGAACGCAGGAAGAACATGCAAACTCCTCACAGAAACGGCAACTGAGCCGAGGTTCGAACCAGCGACCCAGCGACCTTCTTGCGGCGAACGTGCTACCCACTGTGTCGCCCCGCAAATCTAATTAGATCCATTTATTTCAAAGCAAGTCTTTTATATCTCTACTAAAAGACAGAAAATATTACTTTACAAACTCTATTGTAAATAAAACATGAACATTTTCATATTAGGCAATAATATTACTGAAATTAATTTAAAACTGAATAAATATAAATTTACACACATTTACACAAGTAAATAAATTCTGCGTGCACAGAAATCCGTGTGGGTCTACTTATTAGCAGTTAAGCCAGTCTTTTATGAAAAATGGAACAAGACTTTTGAACTTATTATGGACAAATTTCTTATTTGCATATTTAAAAAGTAAACTTTAGATATGTTTCCAAAAATGTTTGCAATTTTTTTTAACTGGGGAAATATGCTGCTAAATGTTTTTATTTTATTTAATTTTTTTACCTATATATTCACCAGCAGTGTCATCAAGTCAATATTATCTTAATGATGCAAGCTGAGATTGCATATCTCAGAGATGCAATATCAGATAAATGCACTCTGGAGCTAGTGACATCACTGTGAGGTGTACGGTTAGGTGTGGCCATTAAAAAGGATTGCATGCAGCTCAGATTGCAACTCCACCAGACCCCTTTTGGAAGCAGGAAACAAATGCTCAGACAAACATTCAACTTTCAGTAAAAAGGTTTTATTTACTTAAACATTTACTTTACATGCATAGTGAAACGTGAGTTATTTTACTACATTAAAAAATAATAAAAACAATAATTTTGGGCCTTTTCATTTGAGGTTCATCTTTTTACAATTATTAATTATTACATGCCAAAGTTTTTTTTTTTTGATAATTCAATACAGTTATTATAAGATACTATAAGCAGTAATTGCAGTTTATGCAAATGAATGTGCATAAATGAGCAATTAGAATAAATGAATAGCTATTTACTTTTCAAAAGGAAATGCTAAAGGCTGGATATTACTGGAGATTACTCTTTGGCATCAGAATCAGGACTGACAGCATGCTAACCTAAAGGCAATAACATGCCGCAGTGACAGATGTATTGCCGAGTGTGTATTTCTGTATCAAGTTGGTTCTGGATTTAGATCGGGATAAAAATAAATGTTAAATGCACTCGCCAGTCAGGGCCAGTACTTTAAGATTTTGTGGTAAAGTATTTTAGAGTTAAAATCAAAGCGTTTATAGTGTTTAGTGGTAAGAAATTTTTATACAGTTGAAGTCAGAATTATTAGCCCCCCCTGAATTATCAACCCGCCTGTTTCCCTAATATCTTTTTAACGGAAAGAAGATTTCTTCAACACATTTCTAAACATAATAATTTTATTAACTCATTTCTAGTAACTGATTTATTGTATCTTTGTCATGATGACAGTACATAATATTTGACTAGATATTTTTCTAGACACTTCTATACAGCTTAAAGTGACATTTAAAGGCTAAACTAGGTTAATTAGGTTGCCTAGGCAGGTTAGGGTAATTAGGCAAGTTATTGTATAATGATGGTTTGTTCTGTGGACTATCGAAAAAATATAGCTTAAAGGGGCTAATCATTTTGACCTTAAAATGGGTTTAAAAAAAATTCAAACTGCTTTTATTCTAGCCTAAATGAAACAAATAAGACTTTCTCCAGAAGAAAAAATATTATCAGACATACAATGAAAATGTCCTTGCTCTGTTAAACATCATTTGGGACATTTAAAAAAAGAGAAAAAAATTAAAAGGGGGGCTAATATTTCTGACTTCAACTGTATTTGAGTAGATAAGTAGATAGTACTTTACATTTTCTTGTCAAAATGGATTACTTATTAATTGCACATCTATTTTTATAACCTTTTTCTAATCTGTTCAAACAGATGCAGATCTCCCCATGCATGGCAAACATAAAGCAATATGGCCTGCTGTCTCTTTAACAACGGTATGCAACTTTCATGCATTATTAAAATGACAGTATTAATAATAGATATTATTTGGTGTACATCGTTTGCAATATTCAGCCAGTATGTACAAAAACAAAACGCTTCCTGGCAAAGTAATATTGCCTTCATAATTCAAAACCTCAGTGCAAAAAGGAGAACCCAAAATATTTGTACAGCTTAATTTGAGCACGGAATCAATTCACCTGTAAGAATTGAATGACATTCACAGTAAAACATAACAAAATCCCACAGAGGTCAGGTGAATAACGTTTTTTTTTCTGAAAAAGGTCATACAAAGCATTTCTCTATGACATATCTATAACAAAACATGTTGACAGTGGGGAAAATGCACAGTATATTGCAAATTCTATGCAAAAACAGCAATACAGAAATAAACAATGCATCTGTAATTGTCAGAGAAGATTAGCAAACACATTAATGTACACACATACTGTAAGTGTTTTAATTTTGGCATTTTCCCAAAATAGTCAGCTATCAAAAATACTGTAGTGCAGTTCTTTAAGTAGGTCAGAGAGGCTTAGATTTCATTAACAACAGCAACAAAAAATAAATAAATAAATGCAACAATATACAGCAGAATAAATAAATAATCATGCAATTAACACAGAATCATTCATAATCAGCGCTTCTATCCCTAAGAGAATATTCCCAAACTACTCCCATAAATAAATCACCAGGAGAAAATGAGCAAAACCGGCTTGATTCCTGTTTGGCAGCTGATGACAAGACATATCACTGCTGAGTTCACAAATACATACAGTATATGCCGCAGAAACAACAGACAACCTGTGCTCATTTGAATTCAGATCGTAATTATGAAGAATGAGAAACACATTAAGTCTTTGGTCCAGTTATTTATTATTAAAGTAGCTGTCAAACATGCTTAAATGATTCTGATGATCAGTTTATAAATTAACAAGTATTTTATTCATTATTTGTGTCAACAGTGACTTATAAATCATGCTTTTTGTGCTAAAAGACAATGTCATCATACCTACATTCAGGTAAGCTTTTAATTGTTGTGTGGTTCACATAAAACGGTAACACTTTACAATAGAGACCCATTAGTACAGAGTTTTTTGCAAGAGTGTGTATTCTTGCAATTCAGATTTTTTTCTGATATTTTTACTCCTTTTTTACTTTTACCTAATATTTTTTTTTTTTTTCAAATTGTGAGTTTTTTTTTTTTTTTTAGAAATGTGACTATTTCTCGCCAATCAAAGCTTTGGGATTTTAACTGAAAACTATAAACTCAAGTTTTCTCATCTGGGGTATTTTTGTGAGACTAAAAAGTCACAGTTATCTTATTTATAAAATTATACGATACAAATACAGATAGTTAATATTATTTTATGGGTTATCTATCATTAAAGGGCTAATTAACTCAAGAAAAAATCATTTACTCTTTCTCATTTGGTTTTAAACTTTGAGTTTCTTTCCGTGAGTTAAACCTATGAGTTTCTTTCTTCTATTCAACACAAAAGAAGATATTTTGAAGAATGCTGGTTGTTTGCACCCATTCACTTCCACAGCAGGCAAACAATTACTATATGGAAGTCAATAGTTGCCAGCAACCAACATTTTTCAGACTATCTTCAACAAAATATACCCTTGTGCACTGTTCAAATGTACTACTTTTTGTTATGTTATGGATGAAATCATACAGTGACTTAAACTGCTGTAAAAATGCATCAGATACATCTTTCTTTCAAAGTTTTCTGCATAAATCTGTTATTAAATTCTGTTAATCAACCTCGGTCCTGATCAAAACTATCAAATTGTTAAGAAAATTACAGGATTTTAACTCTTTAATTGCCAAGTTCACAAATGATGTCACTGATTTAGTGAAAAAACACAAAAAAATTTACATATTTTCAATATAAAAAGTATTGTGGATTGGATGTGTTTGCCTTTTATCACAGGCTTGGACATGTGAAAGATTAAAAACAACATTGGCTTTGATGCATTGTTAGATTTTCATTTTTTTCTCTCCAATTTACCATTGGTGGTTGTTTTTGCTCTATTAACTTCCATTATATCCACATTTGATAATGCATCAATACAATCTTTGTTTTCGTTTACTCCATGTAGTTCTGAGAGCTGAGATGCATATTTTGATTTTCTCAGACACAACAAGGTAAGTGCATAAAGGTCACTCTCACACACTCACATACACACTTTAATTTTCTGTTATACTCCATATAAAATTCAGAAACTAGGCACAGGTCTATCTAAAGGGTTAAAAGTGACAACTAATGATCAACAGTAAAAATGACAAATTTGACCTCTTCCCAACAGAGAAAACCACCAACAATCAAAAATGCATGATTATATGGTGTCATGGTTTTGTAATCTAATAAATGTGGTTATAATGGAAGTCAATAGGGCAAAAACTGCCACCAACAGTAAATTAGGGCAAAAAATGAAAATGAATCCAAAAACAATGCCTCGAATGCAATGTTGTTTCACATGTCCAAGACTTTGATAAAAGCTAAAAAAATCTAGTTCACAATTACTTTTAATATTGAAAATACCTCACTTTGTGTGTTTTTTCACCAAATCAATGAGTATGTTTACATAGACACCAATCATTCGATTTTAATGCGATTAAGACAATACTCTGATTATTAGTCTACCATGTAAACAGCAATTTTTGATTAATTTAATCAGATTAAGGACATAATCAAACTAAAGAAAGTACAGACATTAAAACACCTTAATCAAACTATCACCATCATGTAGGACATTTTGCAACAGAATAGTCCGCACACACGCGGTTGTTCTATTCTTTGCGCCTACCGAGTCAGGAGTCAGTGAAGACCACAGACGCATGCAACAAGAAATGTTTTTTTTTTTTATCACATTCAGCGTGCAGTATGAATTTCCATTAAACAGCACTCTTCCAACAGTTTATAGTTGCATCCAATATCTCGTTTGTCAAGGGGGCATGCATGAAATGTTCCCGGATGAAAGTGAAAGTGCCAAACTGCAGTTAAAGTCCACAAATTAAAAATGAAACACCCAAAATTACATGAAACTCCGGAGGACACGTGGATAGCACGGAGACGCAGACGTTAATGGAATTATGTGCAATAACTTGTAAAACGGGATCATAAAAGGAACATTCAAAAAGCAACTCATGTAAACACCTTACTCATATTATTGTCTTAGATTAAGGCAAATAATTCATTTAACGATGTCCATGTAAACAAAATCAGAGACATTATTGTTGAACTTGCCAATTAAAGAGTTAAAATCCTGTAATTTCCTAACCAATTTAGTAGTTTTGATCTGAAGTGAGTTTGATTAACAGATTTATCCAAAACAATTTGAAATAATACTTGTCTGGTGCATTTTTTACAGCAGTTTAGTTCAGTGGATGTTTTCATCCCTAACATAACAATGGGGTAGTAAATTTGCTTAGAATGTACTGTTGAATTTAGTTGTATTTTTTTTTAATTCAAAGCATTTTCTCAAAATAAGATTAGTCACCAAAAACATTTTGCTAGCTGAAACACAAAAAAGTTATGGCCAAATTAAGACTCAAAATCACCCCAGAGTGGATGAAAACACCTCCAACACTACATAAGAGTTAAGAAACTATTAAGGGTTAACAATGTTAATTTTCTGGTGAACTGTCCCTTTAGCTAACAATTAGCAATAAATTTGTTACAGATTTGTTGATATTTTTAACTTTAGTTCATAAAAATTCAACTGTTACCTTATCATAAAGTATTACCCATAAAATCATACTGTACTTTACAACTAGGCCGATTTTATTGCGAACTTCAGTAAATCTGAAGCTCCATCATAAAACGAAGGCCACATATTCCTGACACAGTAATGTAGAATCCTCATCCAAATGCAGAGATGGTCCAAATCCCACTCAGATCCTCCTCGCACCACAATAAAAATGACGCACATTTGGATGACATGAACACAGTCAGTCATACGAGCTGAACTGAAATGCATGCTGACATGTAAGAGCGTAAACCCTTAGGAAAACTGTGACACAAACACACACCCACACATGACTGTAAACGCCTCAAACACACACTCACAGAGAGCAGGAGGTTTAAAAGTACAAGTAGTAGGTCCAGTAGAGGAGGTTGATGATGACGAAGGACAGAGGGAAGGTCAGGCGGGAGTAGTTGTCGATGTAGTGTGGGTTTTCCACCTTGCAGCAGTACAGACAGCGTATGATTCGACGTGCCCTCGACATGCATTTGGTGCAGCGTGTCTGTGGCTGCGAGGAGCTGACGTCCTCCTTACTTTCACTGGGGGTTGGGTTGTTGACGCTGCCCATGCGGGACAGCATCTCCTCCCGTTTGCGGGCCCGCAACGCGTGGCTGCCGAAGGAGGTGACGATGCCGTTCATTTCATCCTCGCGCTCCTGCATTTCCTGGCCATACTAATGCAGCAGTGAGATATAAAAGTGCTTTAGTTTTTGTCATGACTATGGCAAGGTTAAAAAAGAATTTTTTATATTAATGAAAAAAATGATAAATTGTTTGCCGCTCTTAACCACTTTTTTCTTAGAACTGCAAAGAAATGAGACATTAATTTAGCTTTACTATTTCGTATAGTCAAATCAAAACTGTGCGAATTGGCAAGTTATCTAATTCACAGTTAATCTAATAGAGTACACAATTAAAATTGTTTTTATATGCAGCAATTGAAGACCTCCTAAGCATTCTCAGTGTTCTGGATTTACAATATTTTGTCATGTTTAAGTACAATTTTATAGAATTTTTCATTCATTCATTCATTTTCCTTCAGCTTAGTTTCTATTTCATAGGTTGCCACAGCGAAATCAACTGCCAGATATTCCAGCATGTTTTATGCAGCGGATGCCCTTCCAGCCGCAACCCAGCACTGGGAAACACCCATACACACTCATTCACACACACTCATACACTACTGCCAATTTAGTTTATTCAATTAACCTATACTGTTAACCGGAGCACCCGGGGGAAACCCACACCAACACTAGGAGAACATGCATACAAAAATGCTGACTGACCCATCCAGGACTTGGACCAGTGACCTTCTTGATGTAAGTCGACAGAGGTAACCACTGAGCCACCATTAGGAATTTCCAGTATTTTTAAATTTTGTGAATCATTGGTTATATTTTTTCTAAATTAATAATAAATGTTGTAAATATAGGCAGTTTGCTTGAAAAGACAATTAGTCAAAACAACAAAAAAGAGCCTGTGTTTTCAGACATGTTCTAAAAATGTTCAATATAATATAATTTTCCATGTAAACACACACAAGAACACAAAGAAAACAGAAAACAACAAAGTAAAGTTACAGGATAGAAAAGAAATAATAGAATAGAGAAGAAAGTTTTATATGTGACGGCCAGAGCAATTTTCCTACAAAACAATACTCTTCTGGTCCTGCTGCATTGGATTTTGTAACACGTTTTTTCCCTGAAATCTACTGTTGGCCAAGATTTCATGCACTTAATGTATTTTTACATCATGTAGACTCTTTCAGTCTGTATCTAGAGGACTGTGTTCTGTTCTAAATTTTGATTTGCTTTTTTTTAAGTTGGCATGAAATGAAAGTTGGAAGACAAAAATGGATGATTTTGTTTGTCTACTTTAACATATATTTGAGTAAAATAACTTTTTGAATGAGAAAAAAAGTTGATCTTGATCAAGTCTATCAGGGATTGAATGGATGATGATGTGGTTTGCTACTGGTGGATCTCAAGTGAGTGACAGTAAGCAATAAGCATGTCATCAGAGAAGACTGTTGCAGGCAGGAAGAAAAGTCTTTTTGATTCAACATTCATTCATTCATTTATTCATTCATTCATTCATTTTCTTTCAGATTAGTGACTTATTTATCAGGGGTCACCACAGCGGAATGAACCACCAACTATTGTGGCATATGTTTTACACTGTGGATGCCCTTTTCCACAGTTTCCGTTTCCCAACCCAGTAATGGGAAACACCCATACACTCTCACATTCACACATGCTGTCATACACTTTGGCCAATTTAGTTCATCCAATTCACCTATAGTGCATGTCTTTGGACTGTGGGGGAAACCCCACAAACTCCACACAGAAATGCTAACAGGCCCAGCCGGGACTCGAACCAGTGATCTTCTTGCTGTGAGGCGACAGTGCTAACCACTGAGCCACTGATTAAAGATCTCAATGGCATAGTTTTTAAATAAATACATTTAAAAAGTCCATAATGTGTAACTGTAATAATGTAATATGTAACATGATTTCATGATGACCATTTATGTAAACAAGAACTGTAATACTGCAAAATACAAAGACAACTTAAAGGTACAACATAAAGGTTCTCACCATATATGCGTTGGCAGCATTGGGCTGGTGTAACGTGCAGAAATGGGCGACTGCGTATTCAATCAGTGCACCAAAGATGAAGCTGAAGCAAATGCCCAGATACACATCAATAGCTTTGATGAAGCAGTTGGCATTGGGTAGGGAGGTGCGGGCGCCCATCATCAGGGTGGTCATAGTCAAAACTGTCGTCACTCCTGTTAATGTTAATCACAGAGTAGAGTTAGAAAAGATTCAGGACTTCACGCTATAAAAGTCATTTGATAATAAGATTCCTCCCATTAAAAACATTCTTTTAGCAAATGTTTAAAAAAAGAAGATGTAACAAAGTTTTATTAGTTGGAGTCTGATTGGTGTGAGCTGTATGAGAGTACTCTAAAATATTTTTACCAAAAGGTTGTATTGTTGACATTTTAAATAGTATTTGGTTTAAAGGAGGGCTTTTTCAAGATGTAAAATAATTGCCTGATGTCCCTAGAGTGTGTATGTGAAGTTTCAAAATACCCCACAAATAATGTTTTATACCTCTTTGAAACTAACCCATTTACTTTTTGATCCAAGCTGTGCATTTTAGGGATTGTTGCTTTAAATTTAAACGAGATCTCTGTGAAAAAATCAAAATGTCAAAATATGTGGCTCAGAAGATAATTTTTGGAGACTACAGTGTTCATTTGTGGATTCTAAAACTCAACCATTATAATGTCTTTTAGATGCTGACATTATCTTCAGCAGGTATAGTGTGAAAAAAGAGCACGGCTACTTATCACTCAGGGCTGTCTATGCTAATGAAGGAGAGATTGTCACTATTGTCACTGATTGTTTATGTTGGCTGTTCTTTTATGTAATGGTTTTGGGAAAGTAAAAATGTAAACTTTTAAGGATTTTTTTTAAATATATATTATGTCTGCATCTATGAATGTTATGTCTGGGTAATGTTGGAAGATTAACAGTTACTGTATTTGATGTGTTTTGAGGAAAGATGAGATACCTGTTAGTGTTTAATGTGGGATTCAGAAGGTGGCTATCTTGGTGATGAAGAGAGTTTATTGTTTAGTCAGAAACCAGCTATTATTAGCCTAGAGTGTTGCATAAGATGTTTGTGTGAAAAGGCAAATCCAGATTTACTCCATTAGCCATGTCATTACAGTAATGGATTATGATCTGAAAATAATAATGTAAGAAATAAATTTGTTCTTTTGCTAAGTGCTCACATTGGCAATCACCTCAACACTGCAGCTAAAACTGCTTGCCAGTCGAGCACAGGGTAAGGATCTCAACATACAGTGTCTCAGCGTTTAAGAGAATTTGGACTGAAGGCCAACTCTGACTGACCAAACATCTGATCTGCATGAGATAATAAAAAAAAAGTTGTCTTATGCTGAGGAGCATGTAGTTCACTGGTGTCAAACTCAGTTCCTGGAGGGCCGAAGCTCTGCACAGTTTAGTTCCAACCATAATTAAACACACCTGAGCAAACTAATTGAGTGCTTTAGGCTTGTTTGATACCTAAAGATAGGTGTGTTGAAGCAGGGTTGGAACTAAACCGTACAGGGTTGCTGCCCTCCAGGAACTGAGTTTGATACACCTGATGTAGTTTAAACGAAAAACTGGTCCAGTCTTCGGTCAACTCTGTTACTTAACTGTTACATTAGTAAAAAAGTAAAAAAGTCATAACAATCTTTAAAACTGATAGAAAAAGCATGTGAAATTGTGAAAATAACCCACTGAGCAAGACTTTAGAACCACGTGGAATCCTCTGTTGACTGTCCCTTTGGCATGACTTCAGCTAATCAGTTTTAAGCAATGCAAACATTTGTTTTTTAGTCCAACATCCAGCTGTGCAAGAAAACATACAATTTGACGAAAGTAAAGTCCCCTTTTACCCTTTCACTACAATTAACTTTTATTCTAAATCTTGAACCTTGTTCTTGAAACAAAAAAGGTCACATGCAGCCCATATTAAAATTAATTTGAATACTAATTTGGCAATTGTTGTTATCCATGAGTTTCAAATGAAAAATCGTGAAGCTCTACATGATAATAATTATTTTTATTATTATTATTATTATTATTATTATTATTATTATTATGTATTAATTTCTTATTATTCAAATTACCAAATTCTGGCCAGTTTGATATTTGCCAAATAAATGACAATAGGCGACTTTAAAAATAAGCATTTATTCATATTTATTTATTCTAAATCTTCAGGAAATATTTTTGGTACATCAAAAAGTGTTGTTGTGAACACTCGATTAGCTAATTCAGCTAAAAATAGTGTTTAAAATATCGCTAAAATACAGTATTTAAATCTCATAATTAAATAGAAAATGGTGAAAAACTGCAAAAAAGTCCAGTTTTTGAGAAAAAAAGCCACCTCTTTCATCCGGCTAGCAACAGGCCTGGGACCTCATGTATTAGCGCTGCGTACGCACAAAAACTTTGCGTACGCAAGATTCCACGCTCACATTTAGATTTACTAACGTTAAAATTAACGTGAGAACGTGCATTGGTCCACGCCAACTTCATGTCTGGCATACGTGCATTTCTTGTGTGTGTTTGTTATATTTCCAATGGCGACTCCTAGAGGCAATTATGTTAAGTTGCACACTACAAAGTATCTTTGAGCCGTGCAATGCCAGCTGTATGGGACGGGATCATCCACATGTCTTGCAGGTATATAAGATTTCCATACTATACAGTTGACCAGCCAAACATTAAAGCCCAATTTGCAGCGATTGTCGGTTTTCCCAATGTAATCGGAGCGATCGACTGCACGCACATTGCTATAAAGGCGCCATCTGAAGACGAATTTGCATACGTGAAACAGAAACATTTCCATTCAATAAATGTGCAAATAATATGTGATGCCAAATTCCAGTGGCACTGCCTTGATAAGAGCGGAGGGGTGCTGCTTTACCGCCCCAACAAAGTGTTCTTCCAATACATCTCTTTCTCCACCAGACACGGATACTACTCCAGACAGTAAAGTCCAGAATTGAGGCAACTCTCTCCTCAAAGGGTGTTTTGAACAACATCCTCTGTTCCCCCGCCTGTTCGGTCCACTCTTTGATGGCGCGCCGCTGTTCTCCTCTTAACCTGCACCTTTACATCAGACCATTTCTTTTTGAATTCACTCACAGTGTAATGTTCAGACCCCACTGCATTAACCGCATCAGCTAAACTCTCCCACTCCATTTTTTTTTTCTTTTTCGTTTGGTTTTGCCAAAGTGAAGTCATTACCATATTTATTAGGGGGAGGAGGCAGGGAGGGGTTTTGAGCTTGTGCACGTGCGCTCAGTTTTACGTAAAGTTAGATGTACAAAGAGAATATGCGTGGGATTTCTACGTATGCAGTGTTTCACACATCCCAACTTTTTACTGCGTACGCACATTTACAGCTTTGTGCATACGCAATGTTTTAGTATGAATTCAACAAGTCTTTGTACATGAGGCCCCAGGAATGTCAACTCTGTTATTGTGAAATTTCAGTCATTTTGTCATTCACTTTTTTAATACCGTAGTACAATGAAATACTTAAAATTCTGTTTACAACCTGCCATATTTAAATCCTAAAATGAGTTAAAGTATAAAATGATGGAAAGTCTCAACTCTGTTAGTGGTTTAAAAAGTTTAATGTTAATTTAAACAACAATTAGTCACAATCAAATGGTTCCTATCAAATTTTAGCATTGTATATCATTTCATTTGAAGAAAAATGAATGGAAAATGCTCAAAATCTGCCTGTAAATCTGGAATGAGTCATATATTATTTTTATAAATGCTGAAAATAGTCGTTCTGCGTAGGATCTTGTTTTAAACTGACACTTTTACTTGGGCATGTTCAACACTGAGCATATATTTACTGTCACTTCAATTTAATGATGAAGAAAAGTATTCCTTTTAAACAAAAAAAGTATCACCTCAAGCTTTAAACACTAATGTAATACGCTTTTATTGGCTTTTGTGTCATCCATTAGGCCAAGCTTCCGAATACTAAAGCACATATTTGAAATAAATAGTCCTATTTGAATGTGCTAATGATTGCATTGCGTTCCTACCTATGCAGATGCGAGCAGGTACTGAGGACTGACTGATCCAGAAGGAGACCCAGGACAAGACCACCAGAGCACTGGAGGGAACGTACGTCTCCAGAATAAAATACAGGATGCTTCGCTTGAGTTTGAAGTGGAAGATCAACTTCGGGTAGTTACCTGTTACATTAGGATTAAATTTATAAGTATACACACTGAGAATGTCCCCAAAATATCATTGTGTGTGTGTTTGTGAACATACCAGTCTCATAAACAGCTTCAGATTCAGAGGTGTAATGATCCTCAAGGGTGTACTGTGCCAGCTGTAAATGATCCAGGCCGCTAACCGATTGGTTTCCCCGTGTCCAATAGAAAACAACATCTTTCACGTTATATCCCCCTGTGGAGAACATAATATAAATCCAAGAGCCAATTATCACCACAGAATAAGTCATTTCAGTGCTGAGAGCTACTATATTTCCGCTGAATTACGCATTCGGTTACCACTAATCTTATATGCTGCTAGAGCTCTATACTGTAAAGCAGGCATTAGCATAATATCAATAATTCTAAATGGAGCTATTCAGTGTTTTTTTAGGGTAATGCTGATTTACCATGGGATCCCTGTGGAATTTAAAAACAATTGTACAATCGGCCAAGCATGTGAAATAACATGCTTGTTAGCAATCTATATTAAAAAGAAGTCCTGAAGCAGTTAAACATGCAAGAATTACATTTGCTGGAAGCACACACTTTGTGCTGAGCCTTTAATTAGGTTACTGAATGAGGGGTTAGTGAATATACTTTAACAATCGCAAGCATAGAATAACTTATGGGGAAAAAAACTAATTGATTTTTTTACATGTCATTGATCATTATTATACTGGAGATTTTCTACAAGGACATTATTCAGTTCATTTTACAAGCATCTCTTGAGCTTAAAAAATAGAAATGCAATCTATAATTTGAAATATAGGGAAAACACCTCTAAAAAATATTAATATCCCTATGAATACTTGTTTTGGGTGGCACAGTGGGTAGCATAATTGCCTCACAGCAAGAAGGTCGCTGCTTCAAGGTCCGGCTGGGTCAGTTGGCATTCCTGTATGGAGTTTGCATGTTCTCCCCATGTTGGCGTGGGTTTCCTCCGGGTGCTCTTTTTTCTCCACAGTCCAAAGACATGTGATACAGGTGAATTGAGTAAGCTAAAATGGCCATAGTTTATGTGTGTGAACGCAAGAGTGTATGTGTGTTTCCCAGTGTTGGGTTGCAGCTGAAAGGGCATCCGCTGTGTAAAACATATGCTGGATAAGTTCCACTGTGGCGACCCCTGATTAGTAAAAGGACTAAGCCAAAAAGAAATTAAATGAATGAATAATGCGTGTGTTTTTTTTTTTTTTTTTTTGCCCATTTCCCCCTTATTTTTTATTGTAAAGGATGTTCCATTACATTCATTCATTCGTTCTCCTTCAGCTTAGTCCCTTTATTCATCACAGCGGAATGAACCAGCAACTTATTCAGCATATGTTTTACACAGCGGATGTCCTTCCAGCTGCAACCATCTCTGGGAAACATTCCAGTAACTCACTCACACACTCTAAAAGCAGTTTAGTTAATTCAATTCACCTGTACCACATGTCTTTGGACTGGAGCACCTGGAGGAAACCCACAGGAACAACGGGAGAATATACAAACTCTACACAGAAATGCCAACTGACCCAGCCGGGACTCGAACCAGTGACTTGCTGTAAGGCGACAGTGCTAACCACTGAGCCAGCTGATGTTCCATTTGTTAAAATGTCATTTAAATATGATATATAAAATAATATTTGATTTCTAATATTTAGAATTTATAATATTTAGTGTAATTTTATTCATATATTAATATATTTATTTTGCATTATTTTATTTATTGTCTGTGTGTTCGTAAAGTCATGATTTGTTTTTATTATTATTATTATTAATTGTCGGTTATTTTAACACATCAGCATATACAAATACAGTGTCAGCTATACAGTAGGAAAAAAGTAAACAGGATAATATAGTCAGGCTAGGAGCTGAAATATATACACCATAGAATAGAAAATCAGTAGAAATTTCTAATGTAGTGCCAAAAAGATATCCATAACTGCTAAACGTCATCAGACTTTTGATGTATGGCATAGGTGAGTGGAAACATTTTCAAGGAGGATTACTTGAGGATAACCACAATAGAAGTTGCTTTGCTAGATAAACCAGTATTAAAAACAAATGCTTGGTGTGGAAGTCCAACACATTCTCTACTTTACCATATAACAAATACAATTCCAGAGAAAAACTTTTAAAAAGATAAAAGATAAAAAATAATTATCTTAAAAAGTCCTTGTAGAAAATGATGTTTTCTTCTAAAAAGAGATTATTTTTTCACAATACCAGAAACAGTGAAGGAATGTTCCGTTGCATTTCTTGCAGTTAAAACAAAGATCATAAAGTCGTGATTTTGGTGTAGATTGTATTACTATAATAGAATATACTACACTACACATAACCTGCACTCATTTACTATTTGCAGTTGTTGCTTTTACAAATTAATTTTGTATTCTTACTTTATAATGTACAATTGTTTGATAGGCGACACAGATATTCATTATATTCATATTAAAGCCAAAATCCAATGGCGAAAAAAACATATCTTGTAAGTAATTCATGCAGCGCTTTGTAAACTGTTGTAATACATAATCTACACCTCAAGATGGCACTGTGTCATGCAAAGTTTAGCATGCAAGCGCGTTCTCCAAAAATAACTTTCAGCACCGATTAAATATTTTTCCTTCATCTAGAGCATAAAACATTGTGAAATATGTTGCCCTGATTTCCCCGAGTATTTGGATATATCGTGGAAAAAGCAGCATATAGTGCTCTGTGAAGAGTAAATAAATTCTAGCTGTCACGCTGGTTTTTACAGCATGCTTAGCTAATTAAACTGCTCATACCATATCTGTCCTGCTGAAAATACAGCGTATTAACTATAATAGACTGGTTTAGGCTTTGGAGTTCGTGATGATGGCTCAATAAACCGTTACAGCATAATGGTATTACAAAAAGCAGGCAACTAGACAAGGTGGAAACACCAGCAGCATCTAAAACACACCATATGCTTTCTTTCTTTCTTAGGAGGCTAATGTCCACTGAACTGCCCAAAATCCTCACGCGAACATAACACCAGTTGACAAAAATAGCTTATTTCTTGAAATATCTTGCAATCTTTTTCTAACTGTGGCTTCATCCTTGCTGAAATAAACAGCACATGCTGGTAAAGTAGCCTAGCATGTTTGAAGATGTATGGCTGCTCAATATTGGCAAAAAAAATAAAAAATGTCACTGCACAATTATTTTTTCTGCTATAGGCTATATCTATTGCGATATGAATATGATTTCACAAGATGGCTTAAGCATTTGGAAATAATTCAACATTTACCATTAATTAGGATGATTTTGTAGAGGAGTGCATCTGCACAATATACAAAACTCATTACAAGCATAGATGAATAAAACAGAACAAAGATAGCAATGAAATAACCAGTGATTTATGGTTTTCTGTAGTGTCTAACAGTAGCTAATAGGGTACGGAAATAATCAATATTCATTAATATATCCAAATAATCAATAATCAATTTTAAAGTAGCCTAACCCAAAATGTAAGTATAAATACAACTCATCTTTGTTAGAGCTACAAACGTTCGAAATTCTTGTGCCCAGATGCTTTAAGTTCACTTGAAATATTACACAGATACAGGTATTAAAAACATCCGATTAAATAATTTAGATTAGATTAGGGTTAAACTACTTTGCAATGACTCAACAAAGCATGTGTTCTGAACTGTGGTCCCTGGTTAATCCCAACCGGACATTGCAGATCCTGCGATGTGACTATTGCAGATTTGCATATTGTGGAATGATATATTGTGCAGCCCTACTTTGATGCTGATTTGTGGTTTATACTGGTTTGTGCTGGTCTTTTGCTGGTCTCCATGATCAGCAAAAAATGGCAAACCAGCATCAAATCATATGTTACCAGCAAATGCGGTTTATTTCAGCAGGGATGTATCTCAGTAGGTGAAGGAACATAAAACAAACTGCTCTAAAATGTTCATACTCGGCAAAATCCTACCACAGCAGGGTTAGACGAGTGAGCATACGTGTGCAGATGAATTTTTAACAACTTAAGGGGCATTTATGGTGTGTGCACCTGGAGCATCTATCATTAGTGAACTGAATATTTCATCAGAGCTCAACAAATTTAGAAAAGGATTTGAAACATGCATGATGGGACTCTTATTTTTTACACAGCATATGTGTACCAAATCACACTTTGATGGGAAAATACAGTACTAAGGACAACATGTTCATCAGAAGAATACTGTAGTGCTGACACAGACTAAAAAGCTATTCACTAATTAATACACAATTCAAACTTTTGCAATATAAATGGAATATGGGATGGGACTATATATAACTGTACAATTGCCTCACAAACTCCAACCAAACATTCCAGATCAATGCATAAAATGTAATAAAAAGATGGGAACTCTATACTCACCGGCCACTTTATTAGGTAGACCTGTCCAACTGCTTATTAACGCAAATTTCTAATCAGCCAACTACATGGTAGCAACTAAATGCATTCAGGCATGTGGACATGGTCAAGATTATCTGCTGCAGTTCGAACCGAGCATCACAATGGGGTGGAAAGGTGAATTAAGTGACTTTAAAAGTGGCATGGTTGTGGATGCTAGATGAGCTGGTCTTAGTATTTCAGAAACTGCTGATCTACTGGGATTTTCACGCACAACCATCTCTAGAGTTTAGAGAGAATGTTTAAACAAAGCGAATATATCCAGTAAGCGACCTAGCTGAGTATTGTTGCTGGCCATGTTCATCCCTTTATGACCACAGTGTACCCATCTTCTAATCATACTTCCAGCAGAATAATACGCCATGTCATAAAGACGAACCATCTCAGACTGGTTTCTTGAACATGACAATGAGTTCACTGTACTCAAATGGCTTCCACAGTCACCAGATCTCAATCCAATAGAGCACCTTTGGGATGTGGTGGAATGGGAGTTTCGCATCATGGATGTGCAGCTGACAAATCTGCAGCAACTGTGTGATGCTATCATGTCAATATCGAGCAAAATCTAAAGGAACCTAATAAAGTGGCCGGAGAGTGTATTTCTTTTATGAAAGTGTTATTTGGACATTTTTGGGAGAAAGTTATTTTATTTTATTAACAAAATTCCATAATGTCTCACCCGATTTCCCTAACATCCTATCATCAGGTCAAAAATGAAGTTCTAGACTCAAAACCATACACATTTTGCTGAAAAACAGACATCACTCATAAGCCCTTAAAACACACACACACACACACACACACACACACACACACACACACACACACACACACACACACACACACACACACACACACACACACACACACACACACACACACACACACACACACACACACACACTACAACACAGTTTTGCAATATTTTCAAAACTGGCAAGTTAGGTTGCTTCTGTTTCCCCTCAAAAAACTTTTCATATGATGAACACAAAAGACGCAACCAATGTGAATACTCTGACACATTTATTAGGGAGAACTGGGACATTTCCTGGTGGCCATGCCCAATCTAGCCTGCCCCAGCATGCTAGTGCTTTCTAAATGAGCACATGGTATAAGCACTGAAAATTGAAGGGATTTCACCAGATATAACAATTCACCAGATATAACTAATGCGTCAAAGCAGGAAATTGTGTTTAAAGTTTAAAGAAATGGGTATGCTTTTTGAAAAAATTATATTGTAAATATAGTTATAAAAAAAGTTAAAAGACTGGTTGTTTTAGCAGTCGAGAAAAATTGTAAAAGCTCAGATAAAAAATAGTTGATTTTCTATTTATTGCTTTCAAAACTTGCCATAGCTCATTATTGGAATATACAGAAAACCCTCCTTTAAAAACAATAATTGCAAAAATTGTCTCCTTGTTTGGCCTTAGAAAAGTTTTTTGAAAACCTTTTTCAAAAAATGAAATTAGTTTGTAGGATTTCTGAAGGAAGCTGATAAAAATCTTTTGTCCATACAGTACATCTTGTATCTTGTTTCACCTGCTATTACAGTTTTTTTTCCTAACTGCTTACACACAAAATCTTTTCTTGTCACATGATTCCTAAAACATCTCACTCAAAAAGCAAAACCACAAATCTCCAAAACCAGAAGCTATTTATCAGCCTTGAACTCAGTTTTTAATTGCATAAAATACTTTTCTAATTCAAAATTCCTCTAGGAAAGAATAGAGTAATTCTTCTCAGCCTGGTGCTGGAAAGTATTTGATAGCCAACCCTATGCTTGCATGATGCTTCTGCAGGCAATGGACGCTTTTCACACAGAAACCCCGCACACACAATTGTGAGGTAGCAAAGAATTCTGGCCTATGTTTGGCATAAAGCTGACACAGCAGGCATTCCTTCGGCACTGGCATACATCATGTGGACCAAACATGGCCTGTGTTTGGCAGAGGTGGCACCGTCTTTAAGGCGGAAAACAAGATTTGGGCCAGATGTAAAATGTAGAATTTGGCCCAGATGTTAAAAATTTATATGTGGCCCTCGTAAATTTGGCCTATCTTGACCCACATTTAAAATAAATTAAATCATTTTTAAGTAAAATAAAATTCTACCAATCAGATCGCTTTGAGAAAAAGCACCTACTTAGTTTCCCTTAAGTGCAATGTTTCATGGATTGATCAATTTCATTGCAATTGTGACACACCAACCTATCTGGCCCAGTTAAGGCCTATTTATGAGTTAATAACTTGGCTGGGACTTGGCCCCAATATAATCCTAGTTTGGCCCTTGTATGGAAGCCAGACTTGGTCCAGTCATGTAATGTAATTCACTGCAGCATGTGGGCCAAGCAAAACCTGATTGTGTGGGCCAGAGCTGGGCCAGATAAATTTTGCTATGTGGGTTACTGTATTCTAAAGAACATACTTTTGCTTTACACGTTCTTTACATTTTTACATACAGTAAGTTTGTAATTTGGTTGTATGCTGCTGTATACACCAGTATGTTCGGCCTAATAAATATTTTTGGTTTCTTGATGTCTTCCTTGGGGTTTACAGTGTAACTGTTCCACCTCTCAGCCGATGACTGTCACTGTTGATCATTGTATTGAACTGTAGATATAAGCCTATGGAAGAGTAAAGAGCTTTAGATTTTGAACAACCGTGTTTACATGTGTAACGGAGGCCAGCTAGTGAAGTGCTGTGCAGGTAAACCTTACACCTCTGACCTCTAAAAGTGCTATAGCGACAGATGCTAGAGGCCATGGTCTTTAGCCTCCTTGTTAGAGCAACTAACTCCCATGCGGAAGGTCACCGGTTCAATCCCAGCTCGGAGCCAGTTGAGTGCAGTATGACTGGTGGGGGTTACACATGCTATATTCAAACATTTACTATTATGAAAGAAGTGTTTTGCCATTTGATGCAAATGTTTCATTCTTACACATGTTTATGGTTTTTTAAATGGAGTGTTACTTTTAAAGCAAACTTGAGGCATTTTGCATTTCGTGTGTGCAGTTTTGGGAATTGTGTTTTGAAAGAATGTGACACTGTTTTGAAAATGTGTGTAAGCAGTTGGAAAAAAACTGCAAAATACCATTGTTTTGATACCTTTATATTGGTTGTGTATGCACATGCATTTATTTATTTATATACTTATAATAATTGTAATTTTTATTATCAAATTTATATATATATATATATGTTATATAATATAACAATATAATTATTATATTATATATAATATAATATTTTTATTATATTTTGTTTTATTTTCTTTAGCACATGTTAAAAGTTCCTAAAAATAAATAAAGTGTTTTAACAATAAAATAAATTCACTAATTTGGTCTCAACCACTATGTATTGCATAACTATTTATAAATTTATACAATGTATTAATTCTAGCTATATAAATTTACCCATTCTTACAATGGGTCTTCATATTAACACATATCAAGCATTAAAATATGCTGCGTTTGGTTCAGAAATAAAAAAGTTTAGTCAGGTACAGTCTAACATAATATATTGTGAACACTTCTCCAATTAATAGTGAACAAAACCCAATTTGTTGAAAATACTGTAAAATCTGGTTTTAAGTTAAATAGTATTATTATTGTTTGAGACCTACAGCTTTCAAGTTGCAGCATGCAGGTCTGTCTGTCCATGGGATATTTGGTGAGGTCCATACTGCAGGCCACTGTGGTGGTAATTCTGGAAAAGGAGAGAATAAAACACAGTGACATACATGAGCGAACGCGACTGCTTATATAACACTGGAAATGAGCTCACTGTTTATGGATGCTACATTCAAGCTTAATTTCTGATGCCAGCTGCCCATCTGCACACAGGCTCTGCGTCCCCTGCCACCACCGCCTCTGTTCTTACTCTGTTTTCCAGCATTTGAACTCTTCCACTGGCCCATATCGCATCCATTTTTAGTTGTCCTCTCATGCCCTATAAATGCCCTCTGTTAATATTGGCAGCAATAGTAAATATAAGGAAAGAAAAAGCTGTAAAGAAGTGTCTTTTGTTTGACCTTTATTGTTTTTACTAAATTTTCCACAAAACACTGCATTTTGTTTTTGTAGAACACTGTAAAAATGCAATTATTTAAACCTATACATAGCTAACATACTGAAGCAGGAATCTAACTATACATATATGATAAATCAACCCTGGCTCCTTATTGATACGTACCCCTGTATACATTTCTATACATTGCAAAATACATCCCAGGAGGTTTTATTTTTATTTTTTATTTATTTATTTTTTTTTTATATACATATATAATAGATCAACCCAGGCTTCTTAAAGATACGTACCCCTGTATACATTTCTGGACATTGCGAAATATGTCCCAGGAGTTTTTTTTTTTTGTTGTTGTTTATTTTTTTGCATTTTTTGTTTTCGTGAATTCACCAGAGGCCACTGTGTATGCTTTTTCAGATACCACATTTTCTCAAGAGTGCCATTTATGCCAGCTATTCTCTCATAAATCCACCAGAGGCCGCTGCCGACTGATTGACTGTTTGAGCAATACCCCCACCCACCCCTTCCCTAAACCCAACCGATAGTATTTTTAAAAGCACCAACTGACTCGATAACCCTTTTTCCTAAACTCAATCGGCAGTGTTTTCAAAAGCAAGAAAAGCTTTTGAAAAAAAAAGAAAAGAAAAGCCTTTGTGTTCGCCTGGTTTTTACCACGTTTTCCAATCTTACCATAACTTGTTTATTTTATTTTATGTTTTGCCTTTTGTTTTTGTTTTACCTGCTTTCTGGAATCGTTTTTCACCAGACTCTAACTTGTCTTCGCGGTCAACTCCTCTCTGCATCTAAAGCCCGCCGATGTATGTGGCAAGCTACTGGGCAAACTGGTAACAGCAGAAAAGCTGGCTATATGGAGGTAAGCGGTCAGCTGGTAGCATGAAAAGAAACAGCCATACGTAAGTCTGGCTACATAATTCGTGCTCTCCAGCAATGTATACAGGAGTATGTTTTTACAATGAGCCTGTGTTGCAACAAATAGTAAACTATACACATAATCTAAGACAGACTGTACAATTGCTTCACATAATACAGTATACTGTGTAAGATATCGTGCAAAAGAGATATTTAATTAAGGTTAAAAAAGCAAGTACAAGTTTACATTTATTTAAGGTTTATTTTAATCCAATAAATGTTTAGTTGAACTAATAGTTGATTTTATAGGGAATAATTTAAAAGGATAAGGAATAAATAAAAGTGAACTTTAAAAGTAAACAAGGGGTTTACTCACTAAAAAAGTATTAAAGGAACTAATTGCTTTTTACAGTGTAATGTAGGTTATTTCAAATTGCATTTTTGGAGACTTAAGCCATGTTTACACAGACTATTTAAGGCCCTAAATTGGGTCTGTGTCTGCTCGGAATTCAGTGTAAAGATTCTATGCTGATTAATTCAAATTTTTATACATTTATGCACATTCAGGTTTGGTTCCTGTGCCACCTTTGCTGTGTAAAGATGCCTTTTCTGACCCAAAGATCTAACATTTAACTAATTAACAACTCTCCAGCTATATTCTTGGAGATTTTTTGATCACTTGTGTTACGAGTAGTTGTAGGTAGAGAGAGAGAGAGAGAGTGTGGTGTTTTTCTTTCTCTTTCTTTCTCTCTCTTGCTCTCCATTATTTGCAGATGCAACAGATTATAACGGATTGTTATTGGCGCTTGGATTGGTGGCGGCCATATTTAAAACACCAGAGAACATGGATTCCTCAGCTCCCCACTCTTTCTCGATTCCCCGCTCGTTATTCTTTGTGAAGATGTTGAACGATGAAAAACGAGTGATTGTTGCTGATGTCTCTTGTTGCTGTTTTATGAGATGCAGATGTGACATTTCAACCAAAGAAACACTGTTTTCTGACTCCCTGTCTGGCTTGGAGAATGGTAGGGAGGTTTAGTGCCTTCTGTTTATTATTTTCGTTTTCTCCTGTGTTGTTAGTAGCGAGGAAGGTTTACTGTATTTTATTTTCTTATTTATTTTCCAGGGAAGTTTTCTTAGCTACTTTGGTTTATTTTCATTTATTTTGGCTCAACCCCTCCCGATGTTTTTTTTTTTCTATAAATAAATAATATTTTCTTATTAATTCTCATGGGTTTTGGTTTATATTTCAGAAGAAAGAGCGCTGGGGCACCAGGGATTATGTTTTTTTAATCCCTGTCATCTTATGTTTTTGGTTTAACTTCTTTTTGGTTAAGGATTTTTTATTTAATTTGTAACATTTGAAATAACAGTGGGTTGGGAAAGACAGATATACATCTTCCAGATGTTTCATATCACCTCCAGTTCCCTATAACAGGTTAACTATTGCCCTAATGTTTTTTTGTTTTTTTGTTTTTTGCGTGTGTGTTTTGCCATTATTATTAGCCACTTTCCATTTAGTGAAGCTAAAGTGTAACTTTGCTGTAAATGCCAGTCATGTTTTGGTGTAACTTTGGCCTTCGTTTTACCTCATTTCACCTGCACTGGATACGGTTTACCATGATGCACTAAGATTTACAACTAATTTTAAATCCCTTACTCATCATTGTGTGTTGTATACTGTAGGTCTGCTTTGCCCATTCAAAGGGTCAAGCATTTGCATATCTTTGTTTACAAATCTATATTTACTACCATTATATCTCCAGAATTACATCTGTAAAAAAAACTGTCCTTAGCTATGGCCTTTGGTCACAGGATATTTATTTACTGTCTGTTTCTAAAGTGTGGATTAAGGCTTTTAAATGCGCAGCACCTTTTGCATTGCAACAAAGTTGTGGCTTAAAGAACTGATTTTACTAAATGCTTTTAAAAAGAGTATAAATGGTTAAGAAATTGATTAATAGAATTAATAGAATTGATTAATTGAATGATAGAATTGAAAAATTTGTTTGTCTGTGCAATTCATGCTGTTAATTGTTTTTTGATTGTTCTCTGTTTGACCCATGTGACATGTATACTGCCTAATCTTGGCCAGGACGCTCTTGTAAAGAGATTTTTAATCTCAATGTATCCTAAAAATTAATTTAAGGTAAAATAAATGTTATAATAATAATAATAATCATCATCATCATCATCATAATTTGTACAACCCTTGTGAAAAAGGAGCTAATGATTATATGCATTTCTGTTCCTAATCACCAAGATGCACCAAATAAAAGCATAACATCAATTCCAAAATAATTTTAAAAATATTTACCTCATATAAATGCATAGCCTTGCCAATAACTGTAAACAAATACAGTATTTCTCTTCATATTTTGAGCTAAAGTTTAAATAAATGTAGTTTTTTTTCTGGAGTGTAGTTCTGGAGTTTTTTTCTGGTTAATATTAGTGGAGGGCACTCTATATTAACCCTGCGGTCAGTGCTTCAACAGTGAGCTCTTTCCTATAGTAGAAGCCCAGTAGCATCTGCTTGAGGAGTGAATGTGAATGACATCTCACTACCTGAGGGCATACAGGACGGTCCCATTGGGGAATATCCGGATCAGTCTGTTTTCGACAGTGATGTCGTGCAGGAAGGATTTCTTGGAATCCACAATGAACGTATCGGGGACCCAGAGGAGCTCAACCAGCCTCCCATCCAGACTCAAGCTCTTATTGCCATCGAAACACAAGCGTTCGTCAGTCCAGCGCTGACGAAGGAAGATGGTAGCAGTGTAATCCTGAAGAGAGATGTGTGTTTCAGCAGCGACACAAGCTTACATTTACATCATGCACTCAGCTCTTATACAACTCTGACCAAAGATCAAAGAGGCCCTTTGAAATATGGGCCAGTGATCTGACACTCATTTTTGTCTTGATCTACTGAGATTAAAAACCTACACTCAAATGCAGTTCGTATAAGGAAAAAGACTTCTACATGCAAACCTCTTCTCTTGGGAGATCAAAATTAGTTTAGATGTTTTTCTGGTGCTTAGCAAAAAATGTGTGTGGTGTATATGTCCACAGATAAATAAATATAGGTTATTTAATCTTTATATTATGTTGTATTATATTATATTATATTATATTATATTATATTATATTATATTATATTATATTATATTATATTATATTATATTATATTATATTATATTATATTATATTATATTATATTATATTATGTTATATTAGGCTCATACAGAATCTACGTGCAAAGAAATCCGCAGATTTCCACAGTTTTATTTACTTGTGTAAATGTGTGTAAATTTATATTTATTGAGTTTTTAAAATAATTCCATTAATATTATTGTGATATAATAATAGTGATCTTAAAATGTTCACAGGATTTATTTGCAACACATTTTATGATGTAGTATTTTCTGCCTTTTAGAAGACAAATTATATGAGACTTGCTTTGTTTACAAAATAAGTGGATCTAATTTGATTAGCATTGTAAACATTAAATAAAAGTTAAAAAGGTTTCATTTTTTATTTCATATATTAAGTTTTTATTTATGATACTCCTTAAATCATTCAGCATAAATCTGCAGATTTTTTTTTTTTTTTTACAAAATCCTTTAGGGAAATAGCAAAAAATGTCAACAGATTCTGTCTGGTCATAGTTATGATGTAAAAACAGTGTTGGGGGTAACGCAGTACAAGTTACGTGAGTTAATAGTATTACTTTTCTAAGTAATGAGTTAAGTAGCGCATTGCTATAAAAAAATAGGTAATAATATGTGTTACTTTTTTGAAAATGTAATGCAAGTTACGTTTTAGTTTAATTAATGAGTTTTTAATTGCTAAAAATTGCTAAAAATTTTAAATTGATTAATATTTAGGTCACAATGAATCACGCAGTCAATGAGAGAATGTGTTCATTATTTTAAACGCATCGAAGAAAGGGAGAAGGGGACTGTTTCAATGGACAGTGATAAGACAAATAGTATAGCTAACACGGTGCTTTAAATACTCAATAATCTGTATATAGGGTATTTAGAGCTCTGGGGTCAGGAAGTTCTGAGATAAAAGTATCCTAAAATTTATATTTTATTTTTATTTTTATTATTATTTTTTTTTAAAGATAAATAAAGGTTATAGTGTGTTGTTAATTGCAGAGCTCCTCTATTAAAAAAAGTTCTGAAAGAGATCAAGCCTCAGCCAGGTCATAAAAGTAATGCAAAAGTAACCCAAAAGTAACGCAATGCATTATTTACCATAAAAAGTAACTAAGTAACGCAACTAGTTAATTTTTTGGGAAGTAACTCAATATTGTAATCGATTACTTTCAAAAGTAACTTTCCCTAACACTGTACAATGCAACTAATGTGAATGTTTTGCATATATGCAACACTGCCTTTATATTAGTTGCATATATGCAAAACATTCACATTAGTTGCATATTTGCAAAACATTCACAGAAAGCAGTGCTTCAGTAATCAATAACCTATATTTAGATGCTTGTGGTTTATGAAATCATCCTACCATGTTGATTTCTGATATTGTGTCTATGCTGGCGATATCCAGACTCATTCCCACAGTAACAGGGCCATCTGAAGAGAAAAACAAAATACAAAGCAACACACGCTCCATTTACTATAAAGCAACAACACTGCTAACAGAGAAAGACAGCAGAAAAAGTTCTTAATTTACATGCGTTACAAGAGCGGACTGCATCAACACAAGCCCGGAGCGTTTCCGCTGACTTTACATTTGTTTTAATTGCAGTCGTTGATGATGACAGGACTTTAAGAGAAGATAAAAATCCACTTATGTAAAGATAATAGTGTAAATGTAAAAGCTTTGTTCGTCGTACTGCCGAAGAATGGCCTAAGGTACTTGTTGTATCCCTTCATCAGTTTCTGAATGGTGGGGGGCAAGATCTCCTCAGTGTTCGCAACAGAGCCATCCATGATCCTGAAACAGAAAAAAAGACACAAAACCTGAGCTGTAAAAAGTACTTATACTGCAGTACTTATAAGTAAATTATGCTGAAGTGAAAGTACAGATACTGATTGTAAGTTTTACTGAATAAAAAAGTATTTAGTTGAATAAGAATGAAGAAAGTACAACTTTAAATTGTTCTTTAACTTGTCTAAAGGTCACACTTTACAATAAGGTTTCAATAGTTAATGTTAGTTAATGCATTTATTTACATCAATTAATAATAATCAATAATTGTAAAGCAAGTTCAACATTTACTATTCCTTGTTAATATTAGTTAATGCAATAAGCATTACAGAACATTGTAAGGGAAAACTTCAATAAAGTTAACAAGGATGAATAAATACTGTAATATATATATATATATATATATATATATATATATATATATATATATATATATATATATATATACATACACAGTTGAAGTCAGAACTATGAGCCCTCTTAAATTATAATATATTTCAAATTTATAAATATTGACCTTATTTTTATTATTATTACTATTATTAAAAACAGCTTTTATTCTTGCCGAAATAAAAAAAAGGCTTTCTCCAGAAAAAAAAAGTATAGGAAATGTCTTGAATGTCTTTAAAAAATGCCTTGCTCTGTTAAACATAATTTGGGAAACATTTAAAAAAGGCAGAAAAATCCACAGAAAAGCTTAAATTTTTTACTTCAGTTGTATGTTGTTTGTTGTTTGTTCATGTTAGTAAATACATTTAAAAATGCAAACCTATTGTAAAGTGTTACCATATTAAAAACGTTTTAAAATAATTATTTTTCACTTAAATTGAATCATCATCCAATGGAAAGCTGAATAAAAATCTAAAAGTAAGTTGTCAACAGACTACTAAATATTTAACCAAGTTTTCATATTTAACCAACATAAAATATTGGTTAAAAGAGCAAAACAAAACAAAATGCATTAGCAAAGGTCAAAAACATCTATTAATACATACAACAGCAATTAAAATGCAGCAGAGTGGAGGACAAAAATACAGCCCTTAAAGTGATAATAAACTAAAGCCTCAATATATAATAATCAATATTTAATTGTAATAACCTTTTCCACCCATAACACTGTTGATTTACAACCAATTTAAAATAGAATACTTTCTTAAATATTTATTTTTTCATATTTATTACATTTCATAAAAACAAAAAACCAAGCCATCAAATATTATTAATTATACTTTTCCACACACAATTTAACTGAGAATTAAAAATTCTCATTGCTGGATTTTAATAGCACTCACTCCTGCACATTCTGTCAATATGCTAAACAAGATTTCCAGCTATGGAAACTTAACTTACTTAGTTTTTACTTTACATGCGTTACAAGAGAGGCCTGTCTATGGCCCAATCCCAATTTTACCCCTTAGCCCTTCCCCTTACCCCCACACCTCATTTCATGCACGTTCATGTGAAGTGGTAGGGGTGTGCTAATTTTCTTGGGCATAAGGCTCAGGGGAAGGGCTAGATAGCCCTCGAAACAGAGATTTTCCAGGACCACATTCGAAACCAATGGGTAGAAAAATTTCCCAGAATACACGGGCTACAACAGCAGCATTGTTGCACACGGAATAAAGGAGATGTACAAATTATTACTGTTTGTTATTATTATACATTTTTACAATAAACAAGCATATCTTTTAATATATTCATAACATTGTGCCTGTTTTGCTGTCATCCTCCAAAAAATAAAAAAAACGCTAAATTTTGCAATCTATAATCCATAATAATAACTCCTGTATAGCAGTCCCACAACATACTTTTACATCTGTCACTCGATAACACGCAAATTCCCTGTCAGAAAAGTCTGGTGACCGGGAATTAGCTTTTTACAGTGTCTGCTATAATGTTAATGTTGTTTTCTTGTGTTTAGAGAAATAGGCCAGGGTGTAAATGCTCAGTATACAGTTACGATCTTATTGCCACATTATATCATTATAACATGATATCGTTGCCTCCAGTGACTTCCTGAAGATAAATACCAAAACATAAAACAACTGGAATAACTAAAGCATATGAAGCAAGAGATTAGCATGACATATGAAGACCTGTGCAGGTGTTGTAGTGCTGTCCCATTTCTTAGGGGTAAAATTTGAAACCCCTCCCCTTCACACTCTGTTTCATGGGCCGAGGGGAAGGGGTACAAAAATAGAATTGGGATTTAGCCTAAATCAGAGATGCAAACTAAAGCCTGTGGGCCAAAGTTGGCCCAGGGTAACCTTTGATTTGGCCCGCCATCCTATCTGAGAAGAGAGTGAGAATGATAAGTTTGGTGATTGGGGTGAATATCTTTGACAAATATCATACTTTTGAATGTAATTTAACCTTTTGTTTGTTTTGTATTTTCTATAGTTTTGTAAATTCATCAGATTTTTTAAAATGTAAATACTGTCACTCGACAGATATAAGGCCATGCACAAGACATCGGCGAGCACATCAAGGCAAAGGCAGATGCAGCATAGTTTATTCAGCATTGAACTCCATTGTATTAATGGTATTGCTTATGTTTCGGCTGTAATAATTTATTAAAAAACATTTTTAATACACTTATTACACTGCATCCGTTAATATAATTTGAAGCAATGTTTTCTTGTTATTTTTAAATATTAAGAAATAAATTAGAAGATTACACATTGAAACTTTAATGTACCTTCGGCCCACAGCCCTCAGTCAGGTTTGGTTTTTAGCCCTTTAAAAAAAATGTTTTTTGTACCTCTGGTCTAAATCAAGACACACCCGGAGCATTTCCACTGACTTTACATTTATTTTAATTGCATTTAATTGCAATTGAGGAGAAAACTTACAAATACTAAGTCTTCCCATATTTAGTGTCCATAAAATGAATAAACAGAAAGTGTTAAATTGTAACAAGAAAAAATTGTAAGGAGAAAAATGTACAGTATAATTGTAATACAAATACAACTGAATACCTATAGATTAATACTTGAGTACAGCAATCAAATAAAAACAGCTCAAGTATTTCACACCCCTGCTCAAAACACACAAACATAACGCATAGCACCACCCCAGAAGTGCAAAATACAAGCAGAAAAGCAATGTTACCTCGACCGAGCCAAGGCATGTTTTGATCATGCAGATTTTAATTGCCAATAACTTATGACCTAGATTTGAAAAACACTGTATTTTTAGGTTTCATCTCCTCTCTCATTAAAGCACTGCTACTGAAAGCGGTGTGTATGTGTGTGTGTGTGTGTGATTTAAAGGCCCTCAGTGATGGTAGAAGCGACTGCGTTTCTTTCCTGCTGAGCGGAGTCTCTGTTTCTACAGTGTAAAAGACCCGTGAGCTTCAGATATTATTCAGCTTCAGGATAACAATCCCATAGAGCACTGCAGCACGTGTTGAAAATACTTCAAGAGATGTCTGAGGAAAATAAATAAATAAATAAAAAAACCTGCTTGGTTGACGCTACACAATATCCTCATAAATATTCTAGAATGGAGAGAAACAAGTACTGTAGGCCAGATTCACCAGGGGGACGGAGGTACACATGGATTTTTGCTGCTGCTCAATGCGGCAGATCTCAGATTTCTTCAGACATCGCCCCTGCCTATAATATTTGTCTTCTATAAATACATACAGGGCCAAAGTCTGAGTCCATTGTGAAAGTCTGGAATTCAAAATGTAGATTAGACTTGATGATTTATTGTTAAGAGATGCTGATTTATACTTATATTCAGATCACATTTAGGTTTGAGGTGTTTATGCAGCTTGCGTGATGTCGTCATTATAGCTAATTGGACGCTCACTTAATTAATAGTACCACCATATTCATGGGTGGTTTTAGTTTATTTAATGTTTTAACTGCATTATGAGACATTGGTTTATACTCTGACAGCCTTTCATGTTGAAATTATGTAAATCTGAAGTGTTAATGTGGCTTTTAATTATTTTTGGTCATTTGAAGCAATATATTGTTTTAGAAATAGTAAAATATGTTCAAATAATTTATAATAAAAAATTACAACCTGAAATGAGCAACAAATCAGCTTATAACAATAGACTCTGAGGGCTATTTATATTTTTATACTTTTTCTACTCTATTTAATTTTATAAACTACTCTTTGTCTGTATTTTTGGTTTAATTATAGCCTTATTGACTTTAACAGATTGTGTTTTGTTGTGTTCTGTTTTTATAGACTTTTACAGCATGACAGAAATCACATTATTCTCTACTTTTACCCTTTCAGACCATGCATAAATTACATTTCAGGTGACAGGTCATATTTTTTTGCTACCAAAGCATTTCACCTAAACCTTGCTGCCTTGATATTAGACATTTGTCATATAATCAAATGGCAGTTAGGCTCTGCACGTTGTAGTACACTACACACTACACACAAAAACTAGGGTGGTACCTTTTTTAAAAAGTGCATATTTTGGCCTTAAAATAAATTTTTTTTACCTTTAGTGTATGCTTTTGTACCTTTAAGGTCCTAAGAGGTAAACATTTGTACCTTTTTAGGTATAAATATGTAACTTTAAGGTACTAATGTGGACCTGATAAGTATAAAAGTATACCTTCTGAAAAGCTATCGCCCAAGTGGTGAATTTTGTACCTTTATTTCTGAGAGTGTATGTATTGTGTACACTATAAATTATGTACACTATGTATTTATGTAAATTATGTAATCATATAAACTATGCTAAAGAGAGGCATGGCGGCACTTTGTTCCAAACACAGAAGTAAGCACCATTTTCAATGGTTTTATCGACATTTATTGATATGTTTGACAATATTTCATACATTGTATAGAAAAAGGATTCCATTTATAAAGTTAAAAATTAATTGTAGAATTGCAAGCTTTAAATGACATTTTATTTAGTTTAAATTGAGTCCATTATAATTTTAGTTAAATGTTATAATTTTCAAGTTTCTAAGAAGAAGAAACTTGTCAAAAGAAATTTCATGTGAAGTGTAATATTTTATTTTTTGTTT